ATGTGGCATGATAAGAGGGGAAACTAAAACTGTAAAACGATCATACCGGCTTCCGCAATGCACGTGGTGTTGTAGTATCCAACAAAACTGAAAAAATTTACCGTTCACACAAAATATATTACAATCCAAACTACAGCATAAGTCTTAAAATAGTCTACATTAGCATACCTAATTACAAGTATCGGCAGCTATTTAGAATGCATGACATTGACAAGTATGTGCGTAACACCTTCAACATACACTTCAGACAGCTATGTTACACCAGGTATGTTACACGGATTGTTGCGCGTGGTTATCCCCCAACAAGGCTGACCCTGGTTTTTTAATTTATGCCGACGTCACGTGCAAACAAAGAATACGTGAAGTTGTCGTCATTTGAGCACTTGTTGTTCAGGCACTCCTAGACTGAACACAGCTAATCACAAGAAACTCATTTATTGTTTACTGAACTGAAAATGAGGGGATATTCATCATGCGCCAACACTGCGAGGTGACCCTGGCCCTACGACTGTGGAAAGTGCAACACATCGTCGCTACCACGAACGTCGGATAGATCACAAATCTAGTTGATTTGTTGGTCATTGGTTCACTTGCTATCTTAGAATTTCCCATTAGAACGACTCAAATTTATCCGCTGAGTCAATGTGTTGCTGGCTTTCTTAGAATCTACCATTATAACGAAAATGTTTAAAATGCAGCCGTCAGACATTGCACTTCTTCCAATATTAGAATCTCCCAATATTTGAACCTCCCATTATACTGACGCAAATGTAGCCGTTAAGTCCATGTGTTAGTGACTTAATTATGGTCGGAAATAATATGTAACATCCGACAAACTTGGTAGCTTCATGAAATGCTCGTTCGTATCAAGACGAACGAAATTACGAATCACGCCTTCATCTAAACGCCTTATACACCTCTAGCCTCAATGTTGCTCTTAAAATTTCAGTAATAATGCAGATACTTTACCTTGATTAATGTTTCCAACGATTTTCGCCTGAATAATATTACCTTGTGCAAGTTCTGTTGGCGATGAATTTCCAGTTGACCTTCTGAGCGTCAGCGGTCGCATGTACTGTCACGTGACTTGCGATGTAAACAAACCTCCAAAGTTCGGACATTGGTTTCACCCATGTGAACGTATCAGATAACGGCGAATATATGCGATTACCTCGGTCTGTAGAATGTACGATTTAAGGTGGCTCAATAGGGTTTTTTGGCCGGACGAAGAATGGGTACGAAAATAGCGCGCGCTTTTAAATGGCATCAAATATGTAAACAAACATGGCGGCTTCACGCGAGTACACAATTTTTGTCACATAATCGCGAGGTTTACTTGACGAGAGTGAAACGGCATCGCTACTTTCCAGTAATGAGCACAATATTGACAGTGAAAGACCAGAAGTTTACACAACGCCTACACAACATCCGTAATGCGTCGGGTCGCTTTCGGAAAGTGGAAG